GCTTCTCTCCGAAAAGACAACGAATTAAGTTCCCAAGAGTGATTCACCACTTCTGTTTGACCATCGGACTGAGGATGACTTGCGTCATTGAAATTCAGGGATGTGTCAAACCGCCTCCACAAAGTCCGCAAAAAATGACTTAAGAATTTGGTGTCCCTATCTGAAGTGATGGATTTGGGAACCCCATGCAAATGAACAACCTCTTTGAAAAATAAATTTTCCACGTGCACTGCATCCGAGGTCTTTTTGCAAGCAATAAAGTGAGCCATTTTGGAATACCTATCAACCACTACAAAGACTAAATCAAATTTGCATTGGGTTCGCGGAAGGCCCAAGACAAAGTCCATGGAAAGATCCTCCCAAGTTTCTAGTGGGATGGGCAAAGGCATGTACATACCCGTATTTTGAGATTAGCCTTTGGTAGCTTGACAGATGGGGAATCTTTTAACATGACTACCAATGTCTCGTTTTAGTTGAGGCCAATAATACCTCTCCTCAGCAAGAACTATTGTTTTGTCACGACCCAAGTGTCCGCCCAAGCCTCCTCCATGTAATTTATGAACTATTTGATCTTGTAGTGAACTCCTCGGGATGCACAATTGGTTGCCTCGAAACAGATAATCCTCTTGATATACATTCCTTCAACGAAAGGTTTCAACTGATATTTTGTCCAAATATCCTGAAAATCTTCATCGTTTGCATACAGTTCCTTAAGACAGTCAAACCCAATCGCTTTAGTCCGCATAGTGACTAGCAACAACGCCCTCCTGCTTAGAGCATCAGCTACCCGGTTTAATTGACCCGCCTTATGCTTCAAAGTGAAAGTGAAGCGTTGTATAAAAAAAATCCAGCAAGCATGCATCCGATTGACACTATTATAGCTATTGATAAATTTCAGCGCTTGGTGGTTGCTGAATGAGACAAACTCCCTCTGTACTAGATAGTGTTCCCAAACCTTCAAGGCGCGAAAAACAACATACAATTCCAGCTCATGAGTAGACCACTTCTGGAGAGCTTCACTGAGCTTCTCGCTATAAAACGCAACTAGTCTGCCTTCTTGTGAAAGTACATCACCAATGCCAACAATAATGGCATTGCACTCTACTTGAAACAGCTTGTCAAAATTTGGCAGTGCTAAAACTAGGGCAGATGATAATTTCTCCTTGATCAGCGCAAAATTTTGTTCTGCTTCCTCTCCCCAATGGAATTTCCCCTTCTTCATGCATTCAGTAATTGGCGCGACTATCCGGCTAAAATCTCTGACAAACCGCCTGTAAAACGTTGGCAAACCATGAAAACTACGAACCTCGCCCACTATTTGTGGAGTTGGCCACTCCCGAATGGCATGAATCTTTTCTTCATCAACTTTAATCCCATCAACATTTACCACAAATCCCAAAAATAACAAACTACTGGTCATAAAGCTGCACTTCTTTAAATTAACATACAACTTATTTTGTTACAAACCTGTAAGTACTTCCCTCAAGTGTGCAAAATGGTTAGATTTGTTCTAGCTATATATTAATATATCATCAACGTACACCACAACAAACTTTCCAGTGAATGGTTTTAATACCTGGTTCATGAGCCGCATGAAAGTACTGGACGCATTGGTGAGGNTCAAATTTGTTCTGGCTATATATTAATATATCATCAACGTACACCACAACAAACTTTCCAGTGATGGTTTTAATACCTGGTTCATGAGCCGCATGAAAGTACTGGACGCATTGGTGAGGCCAAACGACATTACTAACCATTCATACAACCCTCCTTTGGTCTTAAAAGCAATCTTCCATTCATCTCCATGCCTAATCCGAATCTGATGGTCCCCGCTCCGCAAGTCAATTTTTGAAAAGACTTTGGATCTGGCTAGCATGTCCAGCATATCTTCCAATTGAGGAATAGGGAACCTATATTTAATGGTGATCTTGTTAATTGCCCAGCTGTCGATGCACATGCGCCAACTGCCATCCTTCTTTGGAACTAATAAGGCTAGTATCGCACAAGGACTCATGCTCTCCTGCACTAATCTCTTCGTAATCAACTCTTCTACCTACTCTTGTAGAATCTGACTTTCCTTGGGACTCATTCGGTAATGTGGTCGATTAGGCAAAATCGCTCCCGGTGTGAGATCAATCTGATGTTGTATGTCCCGCATAGGAGGCAATTCATCTGGTAGCTTTGACTGCATAATTTCTTGAAATTCTTTTAGCAATAGTTTAAGCGTGAATGGAATTTCCATAGACTCCCTACCGACTTCTTCCCTATCTACCACAACAAAAATCTCTTCGGATTCCATAGTTTTCTCTATGAATTCGCCCCCATCCACCAGAAATACTGCATTGCTCTTTGACTTTGGTTCAATATTTGAAAATTCCTCTTTTATGGTCCCCAAAACAATCGTTAGGCCTCCCTTCAAGAAAACATATACGTTATCACGACCCCTGAATGTAGCATCCACATCGAACTGCCATGGTCGTCCAAAAATCATATGGCAGACATCCATCTCCACCACGTCACACACGACCTCATTTGCATAATTCTTCCTAATTGAAAAATTATTGTTGCGGATTTCAGTTACCTTCACTTCAGCACCCCATTTAATCCAGCTAATCTTATACGGTGAAGGGTGTTTCTCAGTTTGTAAGCCCAACTTGGTAACCATTGCTTTCGACACTATATTTTCACTGCTGTCACTATCAATAATGATATCACAAACCTTTTTGTTCACAGTACACCTGGTTCGGAATATATTATGCCGTTGAGATGGTTCTTCTCGCCTTGGTGATAGCAGAAGTCGTTGAACCACCAGAGAGCGTGATAGTAGTTAGCCTTCGTCGCCACCCGTTACCTCTTCCTTGTCATAACTATAGGCAACTTTATTCTCATCCTCCTCTATCTTGGATTTGCCATTTTCCTCTGACTCCACTAAGTTAATGGTACCCCTTTTAGGACACTGGTTGGAACGATGCCCTGACTATCCACATCTATAACATTTATCAGACCCTAGACGAGCATAAGGATTACAAGGTGCCATTTCTGGTGGAAAAACGTTGGCTGGCGTTGTTGGACCTCCACTGCTACATGTCCTACAAGTGGTGTTAGAAAAAGGTGGCTGAGTGATTGGGACTTTTCCTTTGTTTACTACTGCATGATTAGGATTAAAGGAATTTCTTGTTACGATCGCCGCCTTTGATCTATCTAATTGAGTTTCTGCCTAAATAGCCAATGCAACGACTTTGGTTAAGGTGTAGACTGTTTGCTTCACAACTTGTAACTCGATCATGTATAGTCCAATGCAGCCCCCCAACAAATCTAGCAACTTGTTGTGCATCTGTTTCCAGCAGGTTGTTACGTGATGACAGCATGTGAAATTCCTTTAGGTATGCCTCGACTGTTCTACTTCCATGTCTATAATCCTGATATTAGTGAAACAAAATCTGCTCATAATTTGGAGGCAAATACCTGGATCGCAACAGTCTTCNAACATGTGAAATTCCTTTAGGTATGCCTCGACTGTTCTACTTCCATGTCTATAATCCTGATATTGGTGAAACAAAATCTGCTCATAATTTGGAGGCAAATACCTGGATCGCAACAGTCTTCTCGTCTTAGCTCATGTCTAAACCATCCCCTTTCCTTGTCACATCTGTGTAGTTTGCAATTGCTCCAACAAAGCAGAAGCTCCACCCAATAGTTTGTACGTGACTAATTTCACCTTTTTATCTTCAGAAATATCCATCTAATCGAAAAACCTCTCAACTAATACCAACCAGTCAAGAAACCCCTCGATCTGAAGTTGACTATTAAAATTGGGCAGGTCCATCTTCATATGAAAGGTCAGTCGATCCTGTTCCCCTTGGTAACCCCTCCGATTATTCTGGAGTATGGCTTCAACATCTTCCTCATCCTCACTCAAGTTATCCTCATAGGCTAGTTGCCTACGTTGAATCTCTGGATGTCGTTCACGAAAAACTTTAGCCCTCTCTCAGTAAGGTTGACGACCCATAGGACTGTCGCCCCACTGATGATTCCCTGTTATCAGCCTAGCAAGAGTAGCTTGGACTTCCTGCAACGCTTGCTAGGTGTCACACTGGAAAGTTCTGAATTTAGCCCCGGTAACCATATCTTCGTCAAGGTCACCGCCGTCAAGGACTTCGCTTTCGTTCCGTGCGTTTTTTCCATCTAAACAGGATTAAGCCTGCTCTGATACCAATTGACGTAGCGGTAATTTATGAAGAAGTAGGACTTCGCCTGCTTTTAAATAAATAAATAACACACTCGAATCCACAAGCTCAGAGAATAGGATCTCAGAAAGAAAATTCTTTATTAAAAAATTAACCTTACAATGAAAAGAAATAGCCTTTATATAGGCGGCAAAACCTAATTCAACTAGAACTCTAACTCTAGGAAAGAAATAACTAAAATAAGAAAAAAATTCTAAAAAATAAACAAATTCTAATTAAAAGCATAAATCAAAAGTGCCAAACTTAAGCAGCAATCTGTCCTACATCAGATTCAGAAGCCGTAAAACATAAACTTTAGGACAAGCAGAAAGCTTACCCCTTTGCAGAGGTTTCTTACAAAGAAATATTGGGCTAGAAATTAAAAGAATTAGCTGTACCTAAGGGAACTATCAGTGGAATAAGTAACCGCCTCTTGGGCCGCCTTGTGGGTAGTAGTGGTACTACTGTTGTGGGTGGTAGTGGTATTGCAAGAAAAAACATAAAATTTTTGAAGCTTGTTGATGAGCAATAGATATTATCACCTAAAACATGAGAACTTCTTATAATGGTTCAGGAGGAGTATGGTAGTACAATACCATATAACTAGGAAAAAGTTTAAAGAGGAATTTATTTTTGCAACTCCATCCTACTTTTTTCAGGTCAAATTCCATTCAGAGATAAAATTGAACAGGATCAGGCAGCCATGTAAAACAGTTTGTCAGATTCAGAACTCACATTTGATACTGGTAATGTAGAACGTAAATACATTTGCTATTTCACATAAACAAGACCAAGAAGATGAGGGGCATATACCATTCCAGTTCCATTATGAATACATTCGAGTGGATAAGGTCGATTAGCGCGGTAGCAAGCAAAGGTTGCAGAATTGGAAGTGGAATTGGAGCCACATTGCCCACCCGATTTGATGCATTGGTTATAATACGTATCATTTGCAGCCTAGTGCAATTGAAAACCACCTTCAAGAGATGCTCTTAGATCATTAATGGAAGCCCAAGTGTTGATCTTGGAACTTTAATACAATTAAGAATTAGTTAGGTCAATTAGGATAAGATTTAGGGTTAATTACAAGTTGCACCCTGAAAGATAGTTGGAATCTCAATTTACACTTTTAAAGATCAAAAATCTTAATTTGCACCCTCAAAGATAAAAATTTGTATCAATATGCACCCCTAAAGATAAAAATCTCAATTTGTACCCTCAAAGATAGAAATTTGTATCNAACCCAAGTGTTGATCTTGGAACTTTAATACAATTAAGAATTAGTTAGGTCAATTAGGATAAGATTTAGGGTTAATTATAAGTTGCACCCTGAAAGATAGTTAGAATCTCAATTTACACTTTTAAAGATCAAAAATCTTAATTTGCACCCTCAAAGATAAAAATTTGTATCAATGTGCACCCCTAAAGATAAAAATCTCAATTTGTACCCTCAAAGATAGAAATTTGTATCAATGTGCACCTGAAACTAAATTGATAAATTATACTTAAATCTTCTCATACTTGTCACTGAATCATTTGGACCCCTTTACATTTAGAATATTACTCCTACATCTCATGACGTTTGTGCACGGGTAACATATAACCCTTTTTCATTGATATATGTTAATATAACCGTTAAAAAATATGATTTTATTCTAATAAAAAATTATAATTTCGTCAGATCCCTGGAAGCCTCTCCAAGTTTGATCGTTCTTGAAAAGAGACAAGGAAAAGTGGCAATCACCCACAAGAATCCAAAAAGCAGAACATGAAAAAAATGAGGCTGAAACAAAATTAAAGTTGAGAAGAAAGACATGGAAAAACCCTCAATCTCGATATTGATAATGCCCTCTGGACCTCGAGATCTAACCTCTTTAATATCCCCGGGAGTCACAAACCTTCAAAGCAGCTCCTTGGCTAAAGTCACATCGAAGCATGGACACCGAGCCACTACTACAAGTAGGGCAGCTAGGTGGAGCTACAATCTCTGTAGAAACTGCACTGGAGTCTCAACTTCTATAGTGGTACAATGGTCAGTTCTGGTACACACAAAAGTCCCAGTCTGGGAAGGAGTGGGGGCCCCATCAGATCCTGCTCTCGAGAAGCAACTTGGACATTAGACCTCGATCGAAAAGCACTAGAGACATCAAATCTCGCCCTTTTTGAGAAAAAGGGAAGACACTTCTTTAGAAGCATAAAGAACCTCCACCTCCATCATCGCTCTATCAACGAGAATGCCTGTAATCAGAGACAATATCAAGAACCAGCATAGCCGAAAGCCATCATAGTCTCCCTCTCTGGAAAAAACCCAGAACACCAACCCTCCTCATGAATGCCTGACAGTTGCCTACCAAAACACAATTTTTCACCGCCGTTGGTTTCATTAATTTGTGTTTGAAATGCAAATTCAAAGAGAAAGAAGCATTTTTTTTGAACAATTTGTTACCCAAACCACCTTCGAGACATTTTTATGTCGTAGATCTCTAAAAAATACCCAGATTCAAAAAAAAAATGGCCTCGAATGGACAAACCGAGCACTAAGTTATGGTTGTTCAAATTTTGACCTCTTTTTCATGATTGTTTACTACTCTGCCAAGCATCTTAGAACAAGCGGTGGAGCCTGGCATCTCCCAAACCGCCCATGAGCGTCACCCACATACTCTGCCTGCCAGCGCCCTAGCGCCCAGTGCCCCAACACGTAGCACCCTTGCCCTCTCCACTACAGGCACCACTTCTGCCCTCTCTACTACAGGCGCTGCCGCTGCCCTCTCCACTACGGGCACAACCATGCCCTCTCCACTAGGGGCGCTGCCCATGACCTCTCCACTACGAGTGCCACCCATGCTCTCTCCACTAGGGGCGCTGCCCATGCCCTCTCCATTGCGGCGGCCGCCCATACCCTCTCCACTACTAGGTGCGATGGAGTTAGGCTAGGAATCGCGTCGCCGAATGTCGCCTTTGGCCTCTCCGACACCGTCAACTGGTGGGTTGTCTCTCTCAAGGCATGAGATCAATTGGGGAAATGTCGATACCCCTTCTTTGCCCGATTCTTTCAAAGCCATTGGTTCCCTTAACGTTCCCATGCTTAGATTGGCCTCCTAAATCCTTTAAGAGTGCCCTAAAATAAGGGAATGGGGTTTTGAAGGATGAGTTTCCACTGAGCAAAGCAAGAAATATAAGGAAAATGAACTCCCAGGAATGAAGAAATCAAAGGTTGGAGAACTACCGTAGGGAAGAAGAAATCTTTTGGCTTTCTAGACAAAGAAGCTCACTCATGACCGCAATCCCTTTTTACCAGCATTAGGGCTTAGGGGATGGGGGGCAAATGAAGAGCCCAAATGTAACCGGGCTAGCCCCAATAAATCAAGTAAGCCCAGATCCACTAGGAAGGCAGCTCAAGCCCAGTTCGTGAATTCGACTCAACCCAAGATCCGAAGAATCCAAGAAGAATTAGAATATGTGGGGAGAGATCATCATGATACACACTCTCAATGATCAAGACTANGGGCAAATGAAGAGCCCAAATGTAACCGGGCTAGCCCCAATAAATCAAGTAAGCCCAGATCCACTAGGAAGGCAGCCCAAGCCCAGTTCGTGAATTCGACTCAACCCAAGATCCGAAAAATCCAAGAAGAATTAGAATATGTGGGGAGAGATCATCATGATACACACTCTCAATGATCAAGACTAACTTAATTGTATTTACCTTTTGTAGCTATTCTCCCGTGATTCTAGTACATTTACTCTCATGTCACCGCCTCTTAATGTCTATAAATTGTAAGCCGTCTCCACATAAGATGACACATTTTAGCACCTCTCTATACACAGTTTATTTCCTAGCTATTGTATCTCTTCCGGAGCTACCCATTACTCTCTCCCCCGCTCACTCTACTTCATCAATAAAGACCTCTTGTCACCGCTGTCGTTTTTCAGAGTGGAGTGGGTCACGTGGACTGAACTACTATATATCNTGAGAGGACACATTTTAGCACCTCTCTATACACAGTTTATTTCCTAGCTATTGTATCTCTCCCGGAGCTACCCATTACTCTCTCCCCCGTTCACTCTACTTCATCAATAAAGACCTCTCGCCACCGCTGTCGTTTTTCAGAGTGGAGTGGGTCACGTGGACTGAACTACTATATATCTATGTGTTGACTTAATATTTACATTACTGCCATTTGATTGTTTTATTTATTGTCTATTAATTACACTTTATCGTACACTCGATCATTGATCTTGCACAAGACAGTTTTGTGCATCATCGGACATTATCACTTAAAACATGAGAACTTATTATAATGGTTCAGGAGGAGTATGGTTGTACAATACCATATAACTAGGAAAAAGTTTAAAGGGGAATTGAATTTTGTAACTCCATCCTACTTTTTTCGGGTCATATTCCATTCAAAGATAAAATTGAACAGGATCAGGCAGCCATGCAAAACAGTTTGTCAGATTCAGAACTCACATTTGATACTGGTAATGTAGAAAGTAAATGCATCTGCTGTTTCACATAAACAAGACCAAGAAGATGAGGGGCACATACCATTTCCAGTTCCATTATGTACACATTCGAGTGGATAAGCCGATAAGGTCGATCAGCGCAGTTGGAAGCAAAGGTTGCGGAATTGAAGTGGAATTGGAGCGGCATCGCCCACCCGGTTTGATGCATTGGTTACAGTACGTATCATTTGCAGCCCAGTGCAATTGAAAACCACCTTCAAGAGCTGCTCTTAGATCATTAATGGAAGCCAAATTGTTCGCTAAAGCCTGAGCCGAGGTTTGATTAACCGGAACAAAGAGGCTGTCATCGCATGTCACCAAGGTTGAGTTTGTGTTGTTGGTCATGTTGGACCTAGTATCTCACCATGAAATAATTGAGACTGGTATTGGGGCCATAACCTCCAAATACAGAGCAATAAAACTGATTTGGAAGCGGTGATACTGGATTTAGACCAATGCAGCCATAGTGAAGCGTCACGTTCTGTTGATTGGAAGCATAGTTGAAGATGGTGAAATCAATAGTGGTGTTATAGAAAAAGAATGGACAGATATTGTCTCACATATCGTTTCTTGCAACTGTGAGAGTCTGTGTTCGGTTATCGATTGCCAGGACTCGGTAATCCATTGACTGAATTGTGATGAACAGGGCGGAACCTTGGCAATTTAGCTGGAAACCTGGGTGGCCACAGTACGATGGCCGGTTCTGCCCCGAGAAAGGATAGCCGATGTTTCGAATGTTTCCGCACTGAAATGAGTTGCCACAGGTAGCATATTGCTCATTTTCTTGACACTGAAGCATAGGAATGTTGCTTAAGATGGAGACAATGATCATGGTCATGAAGAGACAGGAGAATCTGAAGAGGTTAGGAACCATTTTCTTGTTTAGTTGTGTGTGTGTGTGTGAGAGAGAGAGAGAGAGAGAGCGAAAAAAAGATGTTAACACTTTTTTGGTGTAAATTTTTTACTTTTAGGTGACTTGCTTTTTAGCCATTTATCATTCTTTAAATTTACTTGCTATTTTTTTTTGTCTAAGTTATTAATTTTCAGGTGAAACTAGTTTTTTGTTTTTTGGCAAATTATATTTACATTCTAAAAAATATAAGAATTTTTTGAAGGAACAATATAAAAAATTTAATTTTTAAGGTTACAAAATAAAAAACCTCAAATCTTTCAAGTGTAAAATAAACTTCTCCACTCTTTTTTTTAGTGAAAATTCGTAACCAGTACATCTTTTTTATTTTTTTTATCAAAAAACAAGCAGTGTATATCATTTCATTAATTAAGAAAATTCAAATTACAATATGTCGCAAACAGTATATTTACTCGCACGTTTTTGCTAATAAAACCACACCTTTCCGGTTGCCAAGAACATACGTGATGTATTTTTAAGCTCCATAGTCCAAACTAAAGTTGACTCTTTTTTTAATTACTGAATTGTCCCTCAGTGTTTAATGTCAAAGATGTACGTTTCTCTCCCTGTTCTCTGTGTTCTTCTCCACCTCTCTCAAAGTTCCTCTTTCCTCTCCTTTCGAGTTCGTTGTTCACTTCACAATCAATTTATGGACTTTGGAGTGAGGAGCTAATTTTACTCGGCGACATTCTTTTCTTAGAGACAAACCAATAGAAAAGTTCTATGAAAGGCTTATTTAGTAGGTTGCAAGACTATTTTAGTCCTATTGTTAAGGGATCTAAGAGCATCTCCAAAGAATAGTCCAAGGATATAAAAACTAAAAAATTTAACTATTTTGTACTAAAATTTCCTTCCCAGAATATCTGCAAAGTATGTAAAATAATATTTTATTACAGTAATATTGTATATTTAGAGTGTCACTGTAGCAACATGTATAAATATTTTATAATATTTTCTCATTCCTCTTTTCCTTTCTTTCATTTTCTCCTATTCTCTCTCTTTCACTATTCTAAAAAAATAATAATACAAAAAGAATAAAAAATAATATTTAAATGAAGTAGTTTTTTTTTTTGAACAGAAAATGAAGTAATTAAAAATATAAAAAATACATTAGAATGTGTATTGAAAAAGTGAGTTGTTAAAATAGAAAGTATTACTTTTTGAGTAACTAAACTAACTTTTATTGTTAGGGAAGCTTTAAATTAGCTTCTTTTTTTTTTTTTTGGGGGGGGGGAAGTAAATAAATTAGCTATTTTGCTGCTACTGAAATTGGTTTTTCTGGTATAGGGCTAAGGTGCCATGTCCCTTGTTCTTTCTTGGTAATTTATGATTTTTAATACAAATAAAATAGTTTTGGAAATATAAGTATTATTAAAATATATATAATCACCTAAAAAATCATCGAAAATAAAGTTTATAATACATATAAATTCATATTACATATATATAATAGAAATCAAAGTTTTATTAATACATAAAAATGCACCTAAAATAGTTTTGAAAATCCAATACTTATTAAAACAGATAAATTTACCTAAAATATCATCAAACATAATGTTTAGNATAGAAATCAAAGTTTTATTAATACATAAAAATGCACCTAAAATAGTTTTGAAAATTCAATACTTATTAAAACAGATAAATTTACCTAAAATATCATCAAACATAATGTTTAGAAATTTATATTATGTATAACAAAAATCAAAGCTTTAACACAATTGATAAATTTATCTAAACTATCATCGAAAATAATGTTTATAATATAGATAAATTCATGTTACCTATAATAAAAAAATCTTTATTAAAACAAATAAATTCAAAACAAAATAATCATGAATATCAACATTTATAATGTAGATAAATTCATGTTACGTACAATAAAAATCAAAATTTTATTAAAATAGATAAATTTACCTAAAATGTCATTAAACACAACGTTTATAATACAGATAAATTCATACTACATATAATAGAAATTAAAATTTAGTTAATACATATAAATTAACCTAAAATAGTTTTAAAATTTTTAAGATTTATTAAAACAAATAAATTCAAAACAAAATCTATAATCTATAATACAAATAAATTCATTATACTCATTAAAGGAAAAAATTCAAATAATAACGATCGAGCACACACACATATCAGTTACTTGCAACTATTTCATCAATTCCCCATTAGCTATTCAAAGACTTTTATGTATTTACTTAATATACCCGGTTAAATTATGCACGATCAGTTTTCCTAACAAAACCCTATACTTTATCTGGCACTTTATAAAGTATTTCTGTTTGTTTGTATTTGTGGGATTCAACTATGCTGCACCACACGTGAGATTATCCTATACAGAAATGTCCTCATTTAACCTAATTCCTAATGTCTTATTTGGCATCTTATCCCCAACCCCTTTTTCGGTGGGGGAAACGGCGTTATTGAAAGATGGATCCGTGGCTTCAAGTATTGCGGGAAACATGATGCAATTATTTCCTCCGATTCATACTACTTTCGTTCTCCTAGCGTCCTTAGAGTTCCGACATTCTACTGTTGACATTGTATTTGTGATTCAATAGACAAACCATATGGTGTTTGTCTTTCAGGTCTGGCATTCCACCCGCTGGATGGGATTCTGCAGGCATTACCACATGTAGTTGCTCTTTTCCTGGTGCCAATGCATTTCACGACGCATATAGTCCTATTATTCCTGGAGGGCATATGGACGGCAAACATTCACGACTGCATACATGGTAAATTATGGCCTGTAATGGGTGCTGGCTACCACACCATTCATCACACTACTTATCGCCATAATTATGGCCATTACACGATATGGATGGACTGGATGTTTGGGACTCTTCGTGATCCTATAGATGATGAGCCCAAGAAGTTGTGAGCTTCGTCCCTTGGATTTGGGCTGATTGATCCACAGTGTACAAGTTTATATTGATTAGCTGGGTACTTCAATTTGGTTTCTTTTGATGTGCCTTGCATGTAAGTTGTGTTGGTTGGCCTATTTTTTTGATGTATCTAGGCCTAATTGACGATATTCGCTACCCCAACTATGGGCGTGGCAATGAACGCAGGTTGTGCCATTGCGTCGTATATTTGCTATGTTTCATTGCATGTGTGGAAATTGATTGCTTTTAATGACATAAGTTTTGTGATTCCTATGCATGATTTCATTGATTTGAGACCAAGGAGGTAGGTTTAGAGGTTCCATGATTCAAGAGTTTCTTCTTTCAAAACCATGTCGAGCTTGATCAGGTTCTGACATTAAAATAGGAAAGGGTACAATGACAAAGGAAAATAAATATTGAACAGTTTTACTGTTTCTGAATAAAGGACATGACTTTGGTCTTGAAATGTAATTTATATGGTGGTGTTTAAGATTTCTTGGTTGGTTAGATGAAAATGCTACCATCATTAATTTGTTACCTAAAGCACNACTATTGAACAGTTTTACTGTTTCTGAATAAAGGACATGACTTTGGTCTTGAAATGTAATTTATATGGTGGTGTTTAAAATTTCTTGGTTGGTTAGATGAAAATGCTACCATCATTAATTTGTTACCTAAAGCACTCCATAGTTTGTTATAACTGTCTCAACCCTTACTGCAATTTTGGAAAATTTGAGGGTAAAATTATAATTTTAATAATTTTAACATTGTTTGAAAACATTGACTATCGAAAATATTGTTTGAAACTTGCCTCAACACAAAAGTTTGTGAAAAATTTNTTACTGCAATTTTGGAAAATTTGAGGGTAAAATTATAATTTTAATAATTTTAACATTGTTTGAAAACATAGACTATCGAAAATATTGTTTGAAACTTGCCTCAACACAAAAGTTTGTGAAAAATTTAGGGGTAGTTTTAATTTTCCAAAAAAAAAAGTGAGATTTTTTCATAAATTAAAGAATTAGACTTAAACCTCTATCTTAACTCAAATTAAGATTGTTGTGATAAGTACTAATCATTATTATTTGGTCCCTTTCATCTCCTCCCCTGTTTTGCATTTGTTACTTAATATAAACTGAAATTGGGACTTAAAAATATGAAACCTTAACTTTGAATTTGATCGTAGAACTGTAGAAGTGGTAGAGTTTCTTGTAGCGTTTCACTTTGGTTATTCTTCATTTTTCATTGATAGAGTAGATTTCAACTTTGTGTATGTTGTTGTTTTCTTTCAGTCCTATTACCGTGTTCAGAGGTTTGTGTCACCTTGCGATGGAAGCATTACAAATAAAGATCTGGACAAATTGATAGTTTAGTTGAGGGAGAATGCTCATAATGCAAATATATACTATATGAAACACTTGTTTTTTTAAATTTTGTAATAGTTAAATAATAAATAATAAAGTACCGAGTTTATGTCAAACTGAATAAACTAGTTCTATAATCAGTCTTGGATAAATTGTTTCAAAGAAAATCAAGATTGGAATATAATAATTTTAACATTAAAAGTATTAGGCTAAAGCAGTCAAACCATTTTTTCTATTTCTGCAGGTTGAATCTATGAACTATAAATCACTGAGATAGGCTATCAATTACATGGAGAAAATACAGAGAAAAATGCTGACGAATGGGGTCATTCATACTCTTGTCCAGCTGAATGAAGAAGATCTTTATTTTCATTCCAAGTTGATGATAACGTGGTTGAAAAGTTTACGAGTGGCCTTGCCGGAGAAAATAGGACAGGCTTAGGAGGAATTTGCAACGATTGAAGGCTTCCTTCCAACATTTCTATCACATTACTCATGGATGGTCTGTCTGCTGGATTAGTCTGAATGCACCACAAACTCACTAAAACCATTTTCCTTGATGTTACTTCTTCCTCTTCAGTAGTCACTCCTTCAATTCCTAGATCCTCACCACGTTCGAGATGCTCGTAAATCCAGTCTGTAAAATAAGATTCACTCTTATTGACCCTTCCAACTTCATGGTTCTTGCTTGCTCCGGCCATTTCAAGCACCATCATTCCATAGCTATACACATCAGATTTATGAGAAACCCCTCCATAATTTCTACAAAACACTTCCGGAGCAATATATCCAGGAGTGCCTCTAGCACCCAACATCGATACAATACTCTTTTTCTTTTTGCATAATTTTGCGAGGCCGAAATCTGAGATTTTCGGGCAGAAGTCTTCATCCAGTAGAATGTTGTGAGGTTTTATGTCAAAATGAACAATCCTTGCATTGCAACCTCGATGCAGATACTCTAAACCTCTAGCAATGCCAACTGCAATCTGGAACAATATTTTCCACTCCAAGCGAGAGGCAGCAGTATTCTGAGAATTGTATATGAACTTGTCTAAAGATCCATTCACCATGAATTCATAGATCAGAGCTCTTCTATTCCTCTGGTAACAGAAACCTAAAAGTGTGATTACATTGACATGGGAAGTCTTGCTAATGCTGACTTCGTTAATGAACTCCTCCACATTGTCCTTGGTCTCACTCAAGATTTTCACTGCAACTAGCTGACCATCAGATAGCTTTCCCTTGTATACAGTACCAAACCCTCCTTGCCCAATTTTATCCCTCAATGAGTTGGTCATTTTCTTGATATCTGAATAACTATACCGTTTTGGAGCAAGAGACCCGTACTTTTCCATGAATACATCTATATTTTGGTTGTTCATTCTTCCATTCTTCCAGAAGAAAATTGACATAACTGATAAGTTTTGTCGTTTACAGAAGAAGAGTGTAACAACTACGAGCATTGTCATCCCAGCAACACTGACTAAGAAGCCTGCTTATAAAGGTTGGAGGGGTTCATGTGATTCAGAATCTGTAAACCATAACCTCCAAGAACAATTAAAAGGCTTATGCCCCATTCAGAGATTTCTTCCAACTAATTATAGGGGCAGAAACAATTAGAATTGACTGTACCTATGAGAATTATCGTCGAAGTACTTAACCGCGTCTTGGTTGGTCTCGTTATAGTTGGTCCCATCGCGGTTGGTCCCGATCGCGATGGTCCCATCGCGGTTGGTCCCAATCGCGATGGTCCTGTCGCGATTGGTCCCATCGCAGTTGGTCCTGTCGCGATTGGTCCTGCATTAGAAACATAAGAAACATAAAANCAATCGCGATGGTCCCATCGCGATTGGTCCCAATCGCGATGGTCCTGTCGCGATTGGTCCCATCGCAGTTGGTCCTGTCGCGATTGGTCCTGCATTAGAAACATAAGAAACATAAAATTTGTGAAACTTGATGAGCAAGAGATACTATTACCGAATACTTAAAGAAGTCATCATAATTGATCAGGAGGAGTACTTTGATACTACAATATCATTTAACTAAAATGAAATTGAAGTTGTGATTCTATCCTACTTTTTGCTGGTAATATTCCATTCAAAAATGAAATTGAACAGGATCAGACAGCAAACCATGTACTCTTCTTCTGGTACAGGAGGGTTTTGTTACAAGTTACAACTGATGTCAGATTCGAGGAAATCCAAAAACAGAACAACACAGCAAACGACCCAATGAAATTCAATCAGACAGTATTATGTCCATAGTTAATATCAAGTTATCTTAACCTAGCCGATAGGTCTCCATTCCTTGACTTGACCTGCATGTCATATTGGATTTGATCTCATACTCCACGTGGTGATTAATTTTAACACTAATTATTATGAATCCATAGATAAAACTTATAATATTTCAAATAAAATGTGACTAAGAATTTATATACTCGACCCTATTATAAGACTATTAAAGTCTGGGCTTTAGGCCCTATTTTTTTTTTTATTTAAGTCCCATTTTTTGTAATTATAATCATTAGCCTAAATAAAAAATTTAGGAAAATTTGGAGGCCGGTTCTTTTATGTAGACTTAAGTCTGCCAAAAAAACTTATTTGCTATGAAATCTATTTTTTGTTAATTTTACCAGACTATCAATTCCATTTAGAAGTGAAGTAAAACTAAAAACTAAAAACTAAACTTCTAAATTTTAAGAGTTTGATTAACATTAAAAAAAAATTTCTCTCGTATCTATCTACAACCATATATATGTTAGGACTATATCTTTTTTGTGTGTGTGTGGTAACGTTAAAAATAAAAAATAGCAACATTTAAATACAAAAAAAAATGTATCATTTAAATACAAAAAATAATACCATTTAAACATAAAAAATAGTATCATTCAAAAATAAAAAATAGTAATATTGTATATTAATATTTGAAAAAATAACAGTAGTAACATTGAATATTGATATTTCAGAAAAATAATAATATTTAATATTAACATTAAAAACAAAAAATAGTAACATTCAAATTTAAAAAATAGTATAATTTAAACACAAAAAATAGTACCATTTAAACACAAAAGCATAATAACATTCAAAAATAAAAAATAGTAACATTGTATATTAATATTTGATAAAAAAAATAATAGTAACATACTCAACAAAAAATAGTAACATTGAATATTAATATTTTCAAAAAAATAGTAACATTCAATATTAACGGTAACATTCTTATCAAAAAAATAGTAACATGAAAAAAGACAGTAAAATGCACAAGCATAACAAAACGTAAATAATAACATAAAAAAANCCACGTGGTGATTAATTTTAACACTAATTATTATGAATCCATAGATAAAACTTATAATATTTCAAATAAAATGTGACTAAGAATTTATATACTCGACCCTATTATAAGACTATTAAAGTCTGGGCTTTAGGCCCTATTTTTTTTTTTATTTAAGTCCCATTTTTTGTAATTATAATCATTAGCCTAAATAAAAAATTTAGGAAAATTTGGAGGCCGGTTCTTTTATGTAGACTTAAGTCTGCCAAAAAAACTTATTTGCTATGAAATCTATTTTTTGTTAATTTTACCAGACTATCAATTCCATTTAGAAGTGAAGTAAAACTAAAAACTAAAAACTAAACTTCTAAATTTTAAGAGTTTGATTAACATTAAAAAAAAATTTCTCTCGTATCTATCTACAACCATATATATGTTAGGACTATATCTTTTTTGTGTGTGTGTGGTAACGTTAAAAATAAAAAATAGCAACATTTAAATACAAAAAAAAATGTATCATTTAAATACAAAAAATAATACCATTTAAACATAAAAAATAGTATCATTCAAAAATAAAAAATAGTAATATTGTATATTAATATTTGAAAAAATAACAGTAGTAACATTGAATATTGATATTTCAGAAAAATAATAATATTTAATATTAACATTAAAAACAAAAAATAGTAACATTCAAATTTAAAAAATAGTATAATTTAAACACAAAAAATAGTACCATTTAAACACAAAAGCATAATAACATTCAAAAATAAAAAATAGTAACATTGTATATTAATATTTGATAAAAAAAATAATAGTAACATACTCAACAAAATATAGTAACATTGAATATTAACATTTTCAAAAAAATAGTAACATTCAATATTAACGGTAACATACTTATCAAAAAAATAGTAACATAAAAAAAGACAGTAAAATGCACAAGCATAACAAAACGTAAATAATAACATAAAAAAAAATTATACTAGTACACCGTCGTCTTCTTCACAAAAATACACAATTAATTAAATCGAGACCAAACAAATAGCATAATAACAGCAGTCTTAACAAACAACAATAGCAGGACAATGCGACGATCCACGTACGAATGTAAATAGATCCACTTTGTTCACGGCCTTGGTTGAATCCGAATTAGTGTACAATTCTACTTGGAATTTCGACAAAATTTGAGGGCAATTTGAGTGGAATCAAAGCTCTGTTCATGGTGGGTGCATATTAATGGAATGAAGAGCTTTTGTGGTCATGATCTACTTTGTTTTTGACCGTCTGTCTTTTTTTGTTTATATGTTATTTTTATACACCATAAAATTCTCAAAGTCTACAATTCTCTATTAGCGTTATCATTTTAAGCTTGTGCAGTGAGCATCTCAAAAAACGAAAAAATAAATTTTAAAAAATTATTACTTTTAAAAATAAAATGCCCCTTTTTGAGTTGCAGCGTTTGGACCCGGCCAGTACTCTCGCATCTAATCTCAATATTTAATTGACTTGAAACCGTGACAAATTTGAACTAAATAAGGATAAGAAGATGAATGGCACATACCGTTACCGGTGCCGATTTGAGTTTTGTTACAGGTAAGTTCATAAGGTCGATCTGTGCAATAGCAAGCAAAGGATGTGGAACTCGAATTGGCTGACCCGCATCGCCCACCCGATTGGATGCATTGCTCACAAGACAAATCTTTTGCTGACCACTCCAACTGAAAACCACGACCAATGACTGCTCTTAGATCATTCACTGAAGCCTTTGGGCTTGCTAAAACCTGAGCCGAGGTTTGACTAATAGGAACAAGTACGCTGTCATCGCATGTCACCACGCTTAAGTTTGTATCTGCTGTGCTGAAATAGTTGATAGTGGTGGTACCGTCGTTTCCAGTGCAATCAAACTGGTGTTCAGCCTGAGTTCCGGTGCAGGTATAGTTAAGGGTCAAGTTCTGTAGATTGGAAGCATAGCTGAAAAGGTTGAAATCGATGGTGGTGTTATAGAGAATAGTGGGACAGAGATTGTTCAACAAATCCTCTCTAGCAACTTTGAGAGTCTGTGTCCCGTTATCGATTTCAAGGACTCGGTATTCTTCCGACTGGATTGTGATCAGAGGGGTGTTACCGATGCAACTGAGCCGGAAACCTGAATGGCCGCAGTACGCCGGCCGGTCCTGTCCGGAGAAAGGATAACCAATGCTCGAAATGTTTGCGCAGTGAAACAAGTTACCACAAGCTGCATATTGCTCATTATCTTGACATAGAAACATGGGGACGTGGCTTAAGATGGAGATTATCAACATGTTCATGAAGACACAGGAGGGTCTGAAGAGATTGGGATCCATTTTCTTCTTAAGTTTTGAGAGAGGGAGAGAGAAGAGTTTAGATATCTACCTTTGGTGCAATCCAATTTCATTTTGGGTTGAATATATAAAATTTAAGGGTTTATATAAAATTAACATGATTATTAAATACATATAATACATAATTTAAACAAATGTTTGATACTAAACATATACGAAATAGATTTTTTATTCGTGAGTCTCAAGACACAAATAACAATAATACGACATGTGAGGTACACAAATTGACAGCCTTAATTTTGGGTCCCTTATTTCAATTGATATCACATAATCAACACGTAATTATTTTCGTTAAAAATTAAATGAATCATTAGTATAGGAATAATTGAAACACGAATTATATATTTTAAAAACTAAATTAATAAAATTAGTACACTTGGCACTTCCTCTTTTTAAGAGGTTGTATTAAGTGTGTGTCAAAAAAAAAAAAATTAACAAAACATATTTCAAAGACCAAAATTACTTTTAACACAAAATTCAAAGTAAGCATTAAATGTTGTCAAATTTTGATCCTGTATTTCCATGCGAGGAAAGCCNTCTGAGGGCAATTTGAGTGGAATCAAAGCTCTGTTCATGGTGGGTGCATATTAATGGAATGAAGAGCTTTTGTGGTCATGAGCTTCGGCGACATCTTCGTTCACGGTGGAGAAAAAATAAATTTAGAATTGTTGGGGAACAACTAAAATAATGTATTTCATAATTTTGAATTTTAAATTTTAGGGTCAAATCTTATGAGCATGAATTAAAGGTAGAATTAAGGGGTAAAAAATCTAAGTATTTCCAAATTAGGAAACAGAATTAAGGTCTGATACAATTGAAACAATTTAAGAAAGACATTTTGAAGTTTTAAAAAAAATAGTAGATTTAACTATTTATTGTTAAGATAAAAAATAGACTTATCATCAAATAAATTTTTTTAACGGACTCAAATCATTATAAGTCCTTTATGGAGAATTTAGTCTCAATTTTTACAAAAATTATTTAATTTTAGTAAAAATTAAGCCCAACAATAAAATTAAAGTTAAATTTAAATCGAATAGTTTGGGCATATTTCTCTAGCCCGTGAAACTAAAAATATCATTATTTTTTTTTAAAAAAATAACCGTAAAAAATGAACATTCCAACATTTTCTCCTTACCAATCTCTGTCTGTGTGTGTGTGCACGGTAAAAAAATTTGAAAGACTGACAGAATTCTATTTCCACTTTGTCTACCTATCTCTCCCTCTCTATCTCTCTCTAGCTAACAAAGGGCAACTGATCTACTTTGTTTTTGACCGTCTGTCTTTTTTTGTTTATATGTTATTTTTATACACCATAAAATTCTCAAAGTCTACAATTCTCTATTAGCGTTATCATTTTAAGCTTGTGCAGTGAGNTAGGCCCTATTTTTTTTTTTATTTAAGTCCCATTTTTTGTAATTATAATCATTAGCCTAAATAAAAAATTTAGGAAAATTTGGAGGCCGGTTCTTTTATGTAGACTTAAGTCTGCCAAAAAAACTTATTTGCTATGAAATCCATTTTTTGTTAATTTTACCAGACTATCAATTCCATTTAGAAGTGAAGTAAAACTAAAAACTAAAAACTAAACTTCTAAATTTTAAGAGTTTGATTAACATTAAAAAAAAATTTCTCTCGTATCTATCTACAGCCATATATATGTTAGGACTATATCTTTTTTGTGTGTGTGTGGTAACGTTAAAAATAAAAAATAGCAACATTTAAATACAAAAAAAAATGTATCATTTAAATACAAAAAATAATACCATTTAAACATAAAAAATAGTATCATTCAAAAATAAAAAATAGTAATATTGTATATTAATATTTGAAAAAATAACAGTAGTAACATTGAATATTGATATTTCAGAAAAATAATAATATTTAATATTAACATTAAAAACAAAAAATAGTAACATTCAAATTTAAAAAATAGTATAATTTAAACACAAAAAATAGTACCATTTAAACACAAAAGCATAATAACATTCAAAAATAAAAAATAGTAACATTGTATATTAATATTTGATAAAAAAAATAATAGTAACATACTCAACAAAATATAGTAACATTGAATATTAACATTTTCAAAAAAATAGTAACATTCAATATTAACGGTAACATACTTATCAAAAAAATAGTAACATAAAAAAAGACAGTAAAATGCACAAGCATAACAAAACGTAAATAATAACATAAAAAAAAATTATACTAGTACACCGTCGTCTTCTTCACAAAAATACACAATTAATTAAATCGAGACCAAACAAATAGCATAATAACAGCAGTCTTAACAAACAACAATAGCAGGACAATGCGACGATCCACGTACGAATGTAAATAGATCCACTTTGTTCACGGCCTTGGTTGAATCCGAATTAGTGTACAATTCTACTTGGAATTTCGACAAAATTTGAGGGCAATTTGAGTGGAATCAAAGCTCTGTTCATGGTGGGTGCATATTAATGGAATGAAGAGCTTTTGTGGTCATGATCTACTTTGTTTTTGACCGTCTGTCTTTTTTTGTTTATATGTTATTTTTATACACCATAAAATTCTCAAAGTCTACAATTCTCTATTAGCGTTATCATTTTAAGCTNACTTCTAAATTTTAAGAGTTTGATTAACATTAAAAAAAAATTTCTCTCGTATCTATCTACAACCATATATATGTTAGGACTATATCTTTTTTGTGTGTGTGTGGTAACGTTAAAAATAAAAAATAGCAACATTTAAATACAAAAAAAAATGTATCATTTAAATACAAAAAATAATACCATTTAAACATAAAAAATAGTATCATTCAAAAATAAAAAATAGTAATATTGTATATTAATATTTGAAAAAATAACAGTAGTAACATTGAATATTGATATTTCAGAAAAATAATAATATTTAATATTAACATTAAAAACAAAAAATAGTAACATTCAAATTTAAAAAATAGTATAATTTAAACACAAAAAATAGTACCATTTAAACACAAAAGCATAATAACATTCAAAAATAAAAAATAGTAACATTGTATATTAATATTTGATAAAAAAAATAATAGTAACATACTCAACAAAATATAGTAACATTGAATATTAACATTTTCAAAAAAATAGTAACATTCAATATTAACGGTAACATACTTATCAAAAAAATAGTAACATAAAAAAAGACAGTAAAATGCACAAGCATAACAAAACGTAAATAATAACATAAAAAAAAATTATACTAGTACACCGTCGTCTTCTTCACAAAAATACACAATTAATTAAATCGAGACCAAACAAATAGCATAATAACAGCAGTCTTAACAAACAACAATAGCAGGACAATGCGACGATCCACGTACGAATGTAAATAGATCCACTTTGTTCACGGCCTTGGTTGAATCCGAATTAGTGTACAATTCTACTTGGAATTTCGACAAAATTTGAGGGCAATTTGAGTGGAATCAAAGCTCTGTTCATGGTGGGTGCATATTAATGGAATGAAGAGCTTTTGTGGTCATGATCTACTTTGTTTTTGACCGTCTGTCTTTTTTTGTTTATATGTTATTTTTATACACCATAAAATTCTCAAAGTCTACAATTCTCTATTAGCGTTATCATTTTAAGCTTGTGCAGTGAGCATCTCAAAAAACGAAAAAATAAATTTTAAAAAATTATTACTTTTAAAAATAAAATGCCCCTTTTTGAGTTGCAGCGTTTGGACCCGGCCAGTACTCTCGCATCTAATCTCAATATTTAATTGACTTGAAACCGTGACAAATTTGAACTAAATAAGGATAAGAAGATGAATGGCACATACCGTTACCGGTGCCGATTTGAGTTTTGTTACAGGTAAGTTCATAAGGTCGATCTGTGCAATAGCAAGCAAAGGATGTGGAACTCGAATTGGCTGACCCGCATCGCCCACCCGATTGGATGCATTGCTCACAAGACAAATCTTTTGCTGACCACTCCAACTGAAAACCACGACCAATGACTGCTCTTAGATCATTCACTGAAGCCTTTGGGCTTGCTAAAACCTGAGCCGAGGTTTGACTAATAGGAACAAGTACGCTGTCATCGCATGTCACCACGCTTAAGTTTGTATCTGCTGTGCTGAAATAGTTGATAGTGGTGGTACCGTCGTTTCCAGTGCAATCAAACTGGTGTTCAGCCTGAGTTCCGGTGCAGGTATAGTTAAGGGTCAAGTTCTGTAGATTGGAAGCATAGCTGAAAAGGTTGAAATCGATGGTGGTGTTATAGAGAATAGTGGGACAGAGATTGTTCAACAAATCCTCTCTAGCAACTTTGAGAGTCTGTGTCCCGTTATCGATTTCAAGGACTCGGTATTCTTCCGACTGGATTGTGATCAGAGGGGTGTTACCGATGCAACTGAGCCGGAAACCTGAATGGCCGCAGTACGCCGGCCGGTCCTGTCCGGAGAAAGGATAACCAATGCTCGAAATGTTTGCGCAGTGAAACAAGTTACCACAAGCTGCATATTGCTCATTATCTTGACATAGAAACATGGGGACGTGGCTTAAGATGGAGATTATCAACATGTTCATGAAGACACAGGAGGGTCTGAAGAGATTGGGATCCATTTTCTTCTTAAGTTTTGAGAGAGGGAGAGAGAAGAGTTTAGATATCTACCTTTGGTGCAATCCAATTTCATTTTGGGTTGAATATATAAAATTTAAGGGTTTATATAAAATTAACATGATTATTAAATACATATAATACATAATTTAAACAAATGTTTGATACTAAACATATACGAAATAGATTTTTTATTCGTGAGTCTCAAGACACAAATAACAATAATACGACATGTGAGGTACACAAATTGACAGCCTTAATTTTGGGTNCGACATAAACAAGACACAAATAACAATAATACGACATGTGAGGTACACAAATTGACAGCCTTAATTTTGGGTCCCTTATTTCAATTGATATCACATAATCAACACGTAATTATTTTCGTTAAAAATTAAATGG